AAGAATTCATATTTCTGTTCTTTTTAAACATTAAAAGGGGTTAAAATCCGCTTGCTTCATGCATGGCCTAAACTCACCTTTTGTTCAAAGCTTGGTAGAATCAGTTTGTACTGAGGCCCTGTCCTCTACTGATTGGGTTACCCTGGTGAAAGCTTTCCTTTTAAGATGTGAATATTTGTTGTGGAAATCTAATTGGATGGAATTTTGTTCTGAGCAGGCAGAGATAAACAGAATTCATTAGAATTGTTGACTGGGCAGGATCATTTGTGATTTGGAGGAACAATTAAATTATGATTTACAAACTAATACTCAGATAAGTGTATGTGCAAGAAGGGAACGAAGGTAACTACCTACTAAGACAGGGGGAAAAAATGGATTTTAGCCAGATCTGGCTATCTCACTCTCCTCAAAGTCCTTGACTGCATTACATGGTTTTGTGATTTTCAATTACTCATTAAGGTAGAACATGAGTCTTAAATTTGGTTGGATCAGAGCATTCTATTATTGTAACCTCCTTTTCTATCCAATAGCATAGTTGGCTCTGGCAATCTTCCAATATTTTAAAAATAGCTTTTGCTTATTTTCCTAGTCAAGTAGGAAGTCTTCATTCTCATGATAATGTTGTTCAGTTTGGTCTTGTAACTTCATTTATTTTTTGAAGAAATTGTATGTGCTCAACCAGTAGCCACAGCAATGGCAGTTTTTACTGATTGCTCAAGTTCAGGAAAAGCAGATTTCTGTAGCCATGCTCATACTGAGATAATACAGACAACATAAACTACTCAACAGTGAGCAGAACTTCAAACCCTCATATGCTTTACTTAATTTTACTAATGAGCCAGTTAGTGTTTTATAGTGATAGTGCATATATTGTGGGAGTTCCTAAACATTTTGAAACAGCTAGTATTGTAGATATACCACCAAAAGCAACATTTCATTTGTTTCATACTTTACAAAAGACAATTCAAATGCATCAAAAATCTTCATTGGCCATATCAGAGCACATTCTATAGAAGCTTCCAGATCCTTTGGCATCAGTTAATGATAATATTGAAAAGCTTATTGCTGCTTGTCAACAAATATCTTTATTTGATTTTGTAGAAGCCTCACACATTTTACATCATCAGAATGCTTCTAGTTTACATTAAAAAAATCTGTAGGGAAGAAGCTTATCAAGTTGTTTGCCAGTATTCATAATGTGTTATACATATTCTGTCTTCACCAACAGGGGATAATCCCCATTCTTTATTGCCAAATCAGCTATGTCAAATGTATGTAACTCACATGCTTCAGTTTTGCAAAAATTATTTTGTTCATATTATTGTGAATACTTGTTCTTAATTTATCTTTGCCTCTGCAAAGATAAATTCAACATATTATTTCTCATTGCCTATGGGCTTTTGCAGYATTACACTGTCATACACAGACTAAAACTGATAATGCTTTAGCTTCAACTAGTTCTTCTTTCAAGTTTTGTCACCAATTTCATGTTAATTATAAAACAGGCATTCCTTGTAATCCTCAAGATCAAGCCATTGTAGAGTGGGCTCACTTATTTATTAAGCTACAATTACACAAATAATGGGGGGGGATAAGACCCCACTAAATAACCTTGATTTTTTTTTGGTTCTAAATTTTTAAAATTGTGATTCTGAAGGCCATAGTGCTGCTGAGACAAGTCTTCCACTGTAACAGGTCTGTTGGTCCTAGTTTGGTGGAAAGATTTACAAACAGGATAGTGCAAAGGACCAGATTCAGTGATAATAAGGAGTGGAGATCATGTTTGTGTTTTCCCAAAGGTTCATTTTGTCCTATTTGGGTACTGAAACGTGCCATCAAACATGGACCTAGAGCCAACAGTCAAATGACTAAAATTTAAACCAGAGATGTCAATCCTCACCCCAGAAGGAATAGGAAGGTAATATGGAGGAAAAGGATGAGCATGGATGGCCCTGCCATGCAAACACTCAAACTGCCAGTGTGTAAGCAACTGAAGAATCTTATCCAAAAGACTGAGCAAATGGTTCAACAAAAAGGAGATATTAAATCTCCAAGCACAATGTTTGTGGTCATGATAACTCTATTGAACTGTCAAGGGATGTGGGGTCCATGTAGAAACTCATTAGACCTATTTTCCATGTCCACCTGTAGTACACACGGTGGTGTGRACTGGAAAATCCATCCCAATATTTACTAATGATACTGATATGATGGGATGTTTTACAGATATTCACATTACACCCATCCATGTAACTGGATTTCATTATATTGGCTACAATGAGCAGTTACCTATTTGCGGGTTCCATGATAAACATGCTGGCTGTTTAAAACTATCTTTTGAGGGAAAGAGTATATGGGGGACCTAGACCAGCCAATCATGCTGGCCCATGGGACTTAAGATTATGTGTCAGGACAGTTATTAAAATAGTACGTTCTCATAACAAGCCAGTCACTTCCATGGAATATTTACCAATACCTTACTGCTCCAATTGTTCTGCAATAGAATTTTGTACCTTTCCTAAATGAATGAAATGTGCAAATGTCATGCCAGTAAAACATAAAGTTTCTAGAAATAGTGATTATATTTTTGGATTGGTCTCCAAGAATTGGCAAAGGACATCCCTGTAAGGATGCCATGACTCATTTCAGTTTTATTGGTAATGTTCTAGCTTCCAGTGGAGTTAGTATTTTAAAAGATCTCTGGTGTTTAATTGCAGCCTGAGATTTTCTACATTATATAAATGGCCCTCTGCCTGACTTTGTAGGCTAGAATTGCAAATAGGTTTTATGCTATGGCCTGTGAGACTGTATTCAATCTCCTTATGCTTTAAACCTTGAAATATGTTTCAACATATTATGCATCATGTATTATTGGAATCATATGTTTGCTACTAGTTCTTTTTTGTATCATGATAATAAGTTGTTGGGCCCTCAGAACAAGGATCCAGGATGCTTAAATAACTGCCCATCATTTGCATTTAAAAAATAAATAAGGGGGATACGCAGAAAACCACCTGTGAGCTGTGTGGGAACTAAAACAACATTGAAGCCATTAGGTAGGAAAGTCTTGTGTCTGGAAATCCCAGCAGAAATCCTGCTGTTTTGAGACTGTGTGGCTTATGTGGCTTCCTACATAGCTCAGTTACAGTTCAGAACAGCATCAGTGATGGGCATGACCCATTAAGAGCAAAACAAACTGCCTACCCTCACCCATATCCTATTATTGTGTGAAGAAGAAAGTACAAAGACAAGAATCTTCCCACACTGAAATCTTTTTTTTTTTAATTTTTTTTTTTAAAGAAAGAGTGAGAGAGGAGAGAGAGAGAGAGAGAGAGAGAGAGAGAGAGAATTTTTTTTTAATATTTATTTTTTAGTTCTCGGCGGACACAACATCTTTGTTGGTATGTGGTGCTGAGGATCGAACCCGGGCCGCACGCATGCCAGGCGAGCGCGCTACCACTTGAGCCACATCCCCAGCCCCACACTGAAATCTTAATACCTATGAATTACCTTTGATCTATACTGCTATAAATACAGCAAGTGGTGGCTCTATCTTTGTTGGGTGCCACCCCCTTATGATTGGCTTAACCCATTATTGCACCAACTTTGTAAAACATTGCTTCTCTTTTGTGTGTATATCATGGTTTTACTTTCATAGGTTTTATTTCTCAGCTCACCCATCCCTCCAACAGAAACACCCATGTGGGATGTGAGCAGGAACATGAACTCTAATATGGTTTTGGTAGTTCTCACAATGTAATTTTGTCTGTACACTTTTACTTAGTTTATGTATTTCTAGAGTAATGATGGCATTGTATTTAGTAAACTGTTCTCCTGCTGGTGTCCCGACAGTGCTATAATTTCATATGGTACATTTGCAAAATATATTCACCTCAGTCTATTAAGTAATACCAATTTTATTTATATTTATTTCAGCCATGACTTCTCATCATACTGAAGAATTTTCACCAGAGCAGGGCATAACATATTTATTACAAAAAGTAATAAAGGGAAGATATGGGAATTGCAACCTTGACTATTTACCACCAAGAAAATTATGGGAAACTATAAGTGAGAGTGAAGTTCAAAAATCATATTATAAGGGACAAAACCAATTATCAGTGACTGTTCATAGTGAAAATTTTACTGGTAACAGATATAAAGAACAAATAATATCTCAGAAAATACTGCCATTTATGCTTGTTACTTTTCAAGAACTCTGTATGTCCTTAAGAATAAATCCACAGCAATTTTGGAAGCATATATTTTCTCTGAAAGAAAATATGGAAAATCTGAGAAGACATCTAGTCCATGCTTCAATTTTTAACTTGACCAATTTCAAATGTAGCTTTGAGTTAAACTTCCTTTGGAACATTTCTATAGACAAGAGATTTAAAACTAAAGGACTATCTTCTAAATGTGATTATTTTGAGAGTTTCTTTACAAAGTGTCCATTAGTAGACAATAAACAGATAATTCCTTCATGTGCTGAAACACACAATTTTAACACTTGTGGGATTGTCCCTACTTACCCACTATTGTTTAATGAAAATTCAGATACAGATTTCTGGAAAACTTTCTACATATATATTGAAACAAGTAACATCTTTAGCCAGGTCTCTACCCCAGGTTATTACCAGCATATGTATATTGCTGATAAAAATTATGAATATGAAGAGCCTCATAGAAAGTTTATTATTGGTAACAATGCCAGAAAACATCTGTATACTCATTTTCCAAAGATGTTTTGCAAAGATAAAAAGCATGGTAGTTTTTCTCTTCAGTGCTTAAAACTTGTTACCAATCCAAATATTCATAAGCAAGACAAATCTTACAAATACGAGACATATGAAACAGCTCTTAATCCACTTGCAGTCCTCATTCAATATAAGAAAATTTGTACTGGGAAAGAACCCCAAAACTTTAAAAGTTGTATCAAAGTATCTGATTGCTCAACCCTTAGTAAATACCACATATACTACAGCAGTGATAAACCCTGCATGTTTAAAGAATATGACAAAACTTTTAATCAGAAATCGCTACCTGTCAAGCATCAGAGCATCCATGCCMAAGAGAAGCCCTGTAATTGTAAAGCAAGTCTCAAGTTTAACAATTTCTCAACCGTTTCTCAATCCTTGAGATGTCATAACAGTGACATATTCTGCAAATGTAAAGAATGTGGCCAAGCTTTTAATCAAAGCTCAGTTGTTGTATCCCAGAAAATTGATGTTAATGAGAGCTCTGAGAAATGTAAAGAAACTTCCAAAGCCTTACAACAAAATTCAACCCTTACTCCAAACCAAAGGGATCATTCTGGAGAGAAGACTTACAAATGTGAAGTATGTGGCAAAGCTTTTAATCGAAGATCTCTTGTTATTCAACACCAGAAAATTCATACTGGAGAGAAATCATACAAATGTAAAGAAATTGACAAAGTTTTTAATGAAAGATTACTGCTAACTGAACATCACAGAAAACATACTGGAGGGAAGCCCTACAAATGTAAAGAATGTAACAATGCTTTTAATCGAAAATCAGACCTTACTAAACACCAGAAAATTCATACTGAAAAGAAGCCCTACAAATGTAAAGAATGTAGCAAAGGTTTTAATCGAAAATCAGATCTTAATAAACACCAGAAAGTTCAAACTGGAGAGAAGCCCTACAGATGTAAAGAATGTGGCAAATGTTTTATTCAGAGATCAATACTTACATATCACCTGAGAGTTCATACTGGAGAGAAGCCCTACACATGTAAAGAATGTGGCAAAACTTTCAGGCACTATTCAAGCATTTTCAAACACCTGAGAATTCATACTGGGGAGAAGCCCTACAAGTGTGAACAATGTGGCAAATCATTTAATCAAAAATATAATCTTGTTCAACACCAGATAATCCATACTGGAGAGAAACCATATAAATGTAAAGAATGCGGCAAAGGTTTTAATTATAGATCAGTGCTTGTTGAACACCATAGAATTCATACTGGAGAGAATCCCTACAAATGTAAAGAATGTGGCAAAGCTTTTAGGCGTCATTCCAGCATTATCAAACACCTGAGAAGTCATAGTGGAAAGAAGCCCTACAAATGTGAACAATGTGGCAAATGTTTTAGTCAGAAATCAAATCTGGTCCAACACCAGAGAATTCATAATGGCGAGAAACCATACAAATGTGAAGAATGTGCCAAAGCTTTTAGTCAAAGATCACTACTTAATGATCATCGTAGAATTCATAGTGGAGAAAATCCCTACAAATGTAAAGACTGTGGCAAGGCTTTTAGGCAATATTCATGCATCTTCCAACACCAGAAAATTCATACTGGAGAGAAGCCCTACAAATGTAAAGAATGTGGCAAAGNAGAATGTGGCAAAGCTTTTAAGCATATTTCAGCATTTACTAATCACCAGAGAATCCACACTGGAGAGAAGCCCTACAAATGTAAAGAATGTGGCAAAGCTTTCAGGCATCATTCAAGCATTATCAAACATCGGAGAATTCATACTGGAGAAAAACCCTACAAATGTAGAGAATGTGGCAAATCTTTTAGGCATCACTCAAGCATTATCAAACACCAGAGAATGCATACTGGAGAGACACCCTACAAATGTGAACAATGTGGCAAAACATTTAATCAGAAATCAAACCTTGTTCGACACCAGAGAATTCATACTGGAGAGAAGCCGTACAAATGTAAAGAATGTGACAAATCTTTCAGTGAAAGGTCAGTGCTTGTGGAACACCACAGAATTCATACTGGACATAATCCCTACAAATGTAAAGAATGTGGTAAATCCTTTAGGCATCGTTCAAGCTTTATCAAACACCGGAGGATTCATACTGGAGAGAAGCCCTACATATGTAAAGAATGTGACAAAGCTTTTAATCAAAAATCAGGCCTTGTTCAACACCAGAGAATTCATACTAGAGAGACTAAATACGTTTAAAAATTCTTTGAAATGGCAACATTTTAAATGAAAGGTTCTTGCTTACTGACCATAGGAGAGTTTATACTGGACAGAAGATCTATGAATGAAAACAATGTGGATGAACTGTTAACAAAAGATCAGTCTTTCAATATCTCTAATGAACATAGATGCAAAAATCCTCAATAAAATTCTGTTAAATCGAATACAAAAACATATCAAAAAGATTGTGCACTATGATCAAGTGGGATTCATTCCAGGGATGCAAGGTTAGTTCAACATATGGGAATCAATAAATGTAACTCATCACATCAATAGATTTAAAGATTAAAAAAAATCATATTATCATCTCTATAGATGCAGGAAAAAAACATTTGACAAAATACAACACCCCTTTAGGTTCAAACACATTTGTAAAGGCTATCTACGTTAAGCCTCAGGCCAACATCATTCTAAATGTAGAAAAATTGAAGGCATTCCCTCTAAAATCTGGAACAAGACAGGGATGCCCTCTCTCACCACTTCTATTCAACATAGTTCTTGAAACACTGACCAGAGCAATTAGATGAAAGAAATTGAAGGAATAACTAAAGGACAAGAAGAACTTAAACAAGAAGAACTATTTGCTGATGATATGATTTTATACCTTGAAGACCCAAAGAACTCCACCAGAAAACTTCTAGAACTAGTAAATGAATTCAGAAAAATAGTAGGATATAAAATCAACACCCATAAATCAAAGGCATTCCTGTATATCAGAAACAAATCCTCTGAGAAGGACATGAGGAAAACTATCCCATTGACAATAGCCTCAAATAAAATAAGATACTTGGGAATCAACAAAAGAGGTGAAAGATCTATACAATGGAAACTACAGAACCCTAAAGAGAGAAATAGAAGAAGACCTTAGATGGAAAGATGTACCTTGCTCATGGATAGGCAGAATTAATATTATCAAAATGACCATTCTACCAAAAGCACTATACAGGTTCAATAAAATTCTGATCAAAATCCCAATGGCATTCCTCATAGAAATAGAAAATGCAATCCTGAAATTCATCTGGAAAAATAAGAGACCMAGAATAGCTAAAGCAATCCTAAGCAAGAAGAGTGAAGCAGGTGGTTTTGCTATACCAGACCTTAAATTATACTACCGAGCAATAGTAACAAATAGCATAGTACTGGCTCCAAAACAGGCTGGTAGAGCAATGGTACAGAATAGAAGACACAGAGACTAACTCACAAAATTACAATTATCTTATATTAGACAAAGATGCCAAAAAATGCACTGTAGAAAAGATAGCATCTTTAACAAACGGTGCTGGGAAAACTGGAAATCCATATGCAACAAAATGAAACTGAACCCCTGTCTCTCACTATGCACAGAACTTAACTCAAAATGGACCAAGGACCTAGGAATTAAACCAGAGACTCTGCATCTAATAGAATAAAAAGTAGATCCTAATCTTCATCACGTGGGATTAGGCCCCAACTTCCTTAATGAGACTCCTATAGCACAAGAATGAAAACCAAGAATCAATGAATAGGATGGATTCAAACTAAAAAGGTTTTTCTCAGCAAAAGAAACAATATGAGGTGAACAGAGAGCCTACATTCTGGGAACAAATTTTTACCCCTCACACATCAGATAGAGCACTAATATCTAGGATATAATAAAGAATTCAAGAAGCTAAGCACCAAAACAAAAACAAGAAAAAAAGCCCATCAATAAGTTGGCCAAGGACCTGAACAGACACTTCTCAGAAGAGGATATACAATCAATCAACAAATCTATGAAAATATGCTCATCATCTCTAGCAATCAGAGAAATGCAAATCAAAACTATTCTAAGATATCATYTCACTCCAGTTAGAATTGCACCTATCATGAAAACAAACAACAACAAGTGTTGGTGAGAATTTAGAGAAAAAGGTACACTCATACACTGCTGGTGGGACTGCAAATTGGTGCAGCCAATTTGGAAAGCCCTATGGAGATTCCTTGGAGATGTGGGAATGAAACCACCATTTGATCTAGCTATTCCTCTTCTTGGACTATACCCAAAGGACTTAAAAATAGCATACTAAAGGGACACAGCCACTTCAATGTTTATAGCAGCACAATTCACAGTAGCTAAACTGTGGAGCCAACCTATATGTTCTTCAGTGGATGAATGGATAAAATGATGTGGCATTGATACACAATGGAATATTACTCAGCATTAAAAAAATCATGGCATTTTCAGGTAAATGGATGGCATTGGAGAAAATAATGTTAGTGAAGTCAGCCAGTCCCCCCCACCCCGAAAAAGCAAATGCTGAATGTTTTCTCTGATATAAGGGGGGTGGCTCATAGTGCAGTAGTGAGGGAGAGCATGGGAGGATTAGATCAATTCTAGATAGGTAAGAGGGGTGGAAGGGATTAGCAAGGATGGTGGAATGTAATTGTCATCATTATACAAAGTACATGTATGAAGACTTGAATTGGATGTCAACATACCTTTTATACAAAYGGAGATATGAAAAATTTTGGTATATATGTGTATTAAGAATTGTAATGCCAGTTAAAAGAACATGTATATTGGCATAAATTGGTGAGAACATACTTTGTATAGAGATACAAAAATTGTGCTATATATGTGTCATAAGGAGTGTAATGCAAAAAAATAAATCAGTTTTTATTAATCTCTGGAGAATTCATACTGGAGAAAAGCCCTACAAATTTAAAGAACATGGCAAAGCTTTTAGAAGTTGTTCAAACATCAAACTCCTGAAATTTCATACTACAGAGAAGCACTACACATGTAGCAAAAGTTCAAAGATCGCTTATTAAATATCAGAGAATTTGTAGGGGAGATAAGCTCTATAAATGAGAATATTGTTCAAATACATTTTGGATGATTCAACTGTATACCATATCAGAAGAATCAGCAGAGAAATTTTACCTTTACTAATTAAAAATAAATAAAAATAATAAAGAGAAAAATCTCCAGCAGTTGTTCACATCTTACTCAGCTCCTGAGAATTCATACTGGTGAGAGCTGGTACAAGTGGAAAGAATGAAACAATTTTTTCTCCATCTCCAAAACTTTACCAAACACAAGGGAATTCATAGTGCATAGAAACTCTAAAAMACATTAAAAAATAAGCCTATATTCAAATTGAAACTTTCTTCATCTAAAACCKCATTCTGTATTAAATATCAAAGACATTTTTTCCCAAAATATATGCCTATATATAGATAACACCAAAATATTTACCACAAATACAAAACCTTGAAAAATATTAAAAGTAAAGTCTTATCAAGTCCTTATATTTTGATTGATTTAAGAATTTGTATGAGAAGGCATTTAAGTATAGAAAGTGGGAAATTGCACTTAAGTTTTGTTTAAAATTTATATAGCATTAGCTAATGTGGTAGAAATAATTAAATCCTCATAGTTTTCATACTGTACTGTGGATATTTCATTTCTGATTGAGAAAAAATTAATCATAAATTAAAGATTATTAAGTATCTTCATTTCTGGAAATTTGAGTAAACCTATTTTTTATGCTCTATTAAATCAGAGGAAGACCTATCCCAATAATTTTTAATCTGTATATTTTTTGAGATTCTATAATATTAATTTTTTTTCTTTTTTTGTAATGTGGACAGAACTCAGGGTAGCTTAGCCATTAAGTGATGTCCCCAGTCTTCATTTTTTTTTTTTGAGGCACATTTTCTTAGGGCCTTGGTAAGTTGCTGAGGCTGCTCTTGAAACCTCGACTATCTTTCCTGAAGCCTCCTTGATCACTACAGTAATAGGCATATGCCATCATACCTTGGTATTTATAAATTTTTAGTATAATTATGTTATTGTGGAATTTGTTACTAAATAAAATTGAATGTTAGCTTGCTAATCCGTGTCATGTATTGAATCATGTTACTGTCTTGGCATTCCATTTTACCAAAGATTCTATATAACCGTAAAACATACTAAATAGTGATATAACATCTCCACCAATTATTCTAGAAAACTTAAACTCACTTATTTGGGGAATACAATTTGTATAAGTCAGATTGTTATGCATTTCTACTGCTTGTCATTATGGAAAAATGAAGGATAGAGAGGCCACTGCATGTCTGGAGAGTCACACATCCTCCTAATAAGAGGGATTATGAATACCCCAGAAACTAGGAGTCACCAATTCGTATTCTGTGGAAAGGAGGGTCACTGATGCTTTCACTGGTATCCATGTACTCTGTAGTGCACTAGCTCATTTTGGCAATTGGAATGTCTGGTAACCAAAAATACTGAATAAAGCGTGCAATTCTTCATGAAGTCTATAAGAACAAACTCAGAAGATTGACTGGATTAACTTTAGAAAGAGAGCCCAATATGATACTACCTGTTTGGTCTTAGACAGGCACAAGGGAAGGAACTCTAACCAATAACATGTGAAATAATGGTTATAACACAAGAGATAGATATGTATAGAATAATTGAAACTCCTGCATAATTTGTTTCACTGGATTTTTTATATTTAGATATCTTTTATTCTACTTATAATTTGTAATGCTTATTATGTTTTTAGAGTATAAGATACATGGCATGGCATGAGCTCACAAAGCTTCTATACAATTTAATTCTAATAGGTCTGGATTATTATTGTTGTTGTTACTTTCAGGTCTTACAGGCACATGAACACATGCTACCACACAAAAACAAAATTCTTATTCAAATAACCCACTAGACTATGTATGAGTCTTATTTGAAAAGTAAGATAACTAAAATTTATCCTATATTTTCTCCATGTGTTAATCCTTTGGTCAATAAAACCCTCAGGAATATTAATTAAATTTAAATTGATTGAGAAATAAAAGTAATGCAAAAAATATTGAGAATCTTTGAAGCAGAAATAATGGTTGTGGTTCTTGATTATTATTTTCAGGTACATAATTGTCACAGCTATGCTTCTCTCCAAAGGATATGGTTCTACCTTTTTTTGTTAATCTCTACCCCTTGTCATCCTGCACAGGAAACTTTAAAAAATAATTTACATGTAAGAAGCCAAGCATTAAAGAAGCCAATCCCATTAAACCAAATCTCAAATGTTCTCTGTGATAAGTGGATGCTGGTCTGTATTGAGCGTGGGCTGGTGAGAATGAGAGAACTTTGGGTAAAGGGGAGGGAGAAATTGGGAGGGGTATGGAGGGAGGAACAATGGTGGATGAGATGATCATCATTACCCTAGGTATATGTATGACTGCATATGTGGTTTGATTCTACATCATGTAACATAGAAATGAAAATTTGTGCTCTATTTGTGTACAATGAATTGAAACAGATTCTGCTACCATGTGTAACTAATTAGAACAAATAAAGAATCAAAACAGATGTATTCTAAATATGATGAGTGTGTGATTTCAGAGAGAGTTAGTATAACTTCCAGAAACCATAATAAGATGTTTAGTTTGAAGGAACATCTGCATTATATTGCCTTGATTTATTAGAGGCATTTTCCCAGGAGTGAAGAAAAAGCAAAAAACATCTTTATCATTATTGGTTTAAAAAGTATCCCATTCTATTTAGTTAATGAACATCTTATTTTAAAATTTTTTTAAAAACCATAGTTTCCAAGAAAAAAATAAAAATAGAGAAAAGAAAACATGAAAGATTTTCACAGTCCATGTGCCTGCCATGACCTTTGCACATCCTTGATGAAACATTTTAATAATGCTGTTAAGTGTACTTGAGGGGATCACTAGATTACACAGGTTTTTAGAATAGAGTTTTCTGAGTTCTAACTTTTGAGTATCCTTACTGGGAAGATTTTAAAGTCATGGCCATCGAGAGGATGATGTGGCTGGCATTTCCCAGTTAGGGCTCTGAAAATCTACCTTGACAGTTACCAGCTAGTTGGCTTCAGGTGATGATGTTTTCCTGATTTGTAAGTGTATTTTCTTCTCTTGTATGCCTATCAATTTCACCTTTTTTTTTCTTGATTCCATATTATCACTAAATTAAATTGTATCTCATGTTAAGGTAGTGTCTTTAAGTTTCTCTTGGATCTGATCTTCCAAATTGAGTATGTCCACATGTATGTAATTACATACACATGCTTGTATTATACAATTAAAGCAGTATTTTTAGCATGTCTGTCACCTCAAATATTTTTTATTTGATGAGGAGAAAATTGAGAATGCTTTCTTTCCTTTGAATGCATAATGCATTATCAATAGCTATAGRTACCCTACTATATATTTGCCCCTCTCTGACCTCTGGTTTTATGTCTTTCCATATGCTTTTTTCTCCTTTCCATGTTACCAACATGATTCTATACACTATGATATGATATGTAGCAAAGTTTGTAGTCACATCAGACTCATGGCACCCATTGATTTTGGACTTTCAGCCTCCAAAATTCTTAGTTACTTTTTTWAAATTATAAAGTAAGTACTCTTGGGTATTTTCTTATAGCAATAGAAAATGGACGTTTACAGTGTCATTCAACATTATAAGAATTGTTTTGTACTTATCTGTAAGATTAGACTGTATATTTACCTGCCTAGTTGTATATGGGTTAAGATACTCTGTTTAATCGTGTTATTTAAGCTTGATGGCTCTATTAGCATTTCTTAAGGAATTTTTTTTTACTTACACTAAACTTCTCAACATAGAAATATGAAGCAGATTTTTCCAGGTATAAAATTATTGGTTGATAGATTTTGTTTAAAAAGTTTAATCATGTCCTCCCACTGCCTTCCAATGTCCATGGGTTCTGTAGAGATATCAGCTAATTTTAAATGTTCTCTTGTATATAAGACAGCACGTCCACTCCCAAGTTGTTTCTCTCTTCACTTTTTTTTTTGTAAATTAACTATAAACAATTCCAGAAACCACAATTCATGAATTTTAAATTGCACAGTGTTCTAAGTATAATAATTGAAATGTCACACTATGTCACCTCCTCCCACCTAGGTTGTGAGTCACTGCTTTCTCCAGCATTTTCATGCCTTATATACTGTTTATAAAAGTTCCTTCGTATTAGACACCATCACAATCTTTGTTATAACATTGATTGTCATGGTATTGGTGTACTTGTGCTGAGATAAAACTTTCATTTTTTATTTTGTTGCATTGGGAGCCTGAGAATGCAAGAAAGATCTTGACCCTTTACTATCTGAAAACATGATTTCCCCTGAGAACCTTATCCCATAATTTGAGATGTTATTAGTGACCCACAACTGTGACTGGCCTATATCACATAATCTGAAGAGAATGTACCAGTTACTAGAAAATGAAATCTACTTCATTGTAATGCCAACATATCCAACCAGGAAGAAAGTGGACACTGATTTCCATAGCTACATGTTGTATTCCAGTTGTTACTTTTATAAATTGCTGAATTGTAAACAAGCAGACATTTAAGTTCATGATTTCCTGGATTGATCCCAGTTCATTCAGCAACACAAGGTAACCCCATGGCCAGCATAACCTGAGGGGCTAGGTGTCAGTTCCTGGGGACAAAGAGGAACCAATGGAGCCACTGATTTTGTCAACAAGGACAATGCTATAAATCTCACCCATCACAAAATTAAGCCTCCAACCAAATACTCCATAAAAAGTATGTATTTTTAGTGGTCCTGGACTAACTTACCTGAACCTCTACATGTAGATATTTCCTTCCTGAAAATGTTTATCTCAATATAATAAAGTTACATATTATGCCCAAATTATGGGGTCACTTATTTCAAAGAGATTTTCATTGTGTATTTATTTACTGTAAATAAAYTTTGTTTTATGTAAAAACTATTTTGTTTTTGC